GTACAGCCCGCTCCATTCGTAAACCCTTCACTCCTCGCTCAGTTAATCTTTTCAATATACATGGTAAGCTCTCTTCTAAGGATCTCCGTGTCACTACCTTCGCAGAATATCTCTCTGAAAAAGTCTGGAAGGCTCCTGATCCTCAACCTGTACTCCCTGATAATCCTTCACCCATTATAGACTGCTCCGCTCCGTTTACCATGGCTGAGCTCAACATTGTTCTTAGATCACTTAGCACGGGCCGTGCGCCTGGGCCCGACTCCATCCCCTCAGATATGATCAGGCTCTCCTTCTATCCTCAAACTCTTTCTTCTGGATCATTTTAATCATTGCCTATCTACCTCCACTGTCCCTGACTCTTGGGCATTATCTGAGGTTGTTATGTTAGTTAAAAAGATCCAACATGATACGCGAGACCTCTCTAACTATCGTCCCATTTCTCTTACCAATTCTATGTACAAGTCAGAAGCGTCTTGCTCATCATTTCGATGACAAAATCCGCTCTACCCAATTTGGCTTCCGGGCTAAACGCTCTACAAGCCAACCTATTCACATTATGCGAAGAATTCTCGAAATCTATGAAAGACAGCAGAACTCCCTTCATGTCCTTTTCCTTGATTGGTCAAAGGCTTTCGACTCAGTTTCTTTCTCCGCTATCGAGTCCTCCCTCCGTTTTTTTGGTGTTCCTCCTTTATTCGTGGACGCAGTCCTTTCCCTTTAGCGCTCCCCCAAATTTCGGGTTAGGGATGCTGGTAAGCTCTCCGACGTCTACTCTCAAACCCGTGGCCTTCGTCAAGGCTGTCCTCTCTCTCCTTATCTTTTTAACTTTGTTCTCTCTCATCTCTTCTACGACGTTGAAACTTCTTACACCTCTCAATTTGGCCTACTCTCTGGAGTTATTAATACGCCGTCCCCCTTGTGGGATTTAGAACACGCCGATGATACGGCTCTTATGTCTAACTCTGCGGAACAGATCACAAGGCTCCTGCACATACTCCAGTCCGAGGCTCATACCCGTGGTCTTACCCTCAACTTTGATAAGTGTGCGCATCTCCGTTTACATTCAGACGAGAGGGTTTTCTTTTCCCCGTCTCTTTCTTCTCCCTGTGATTGTTCACGCTGTCATGGTCATCTGGACCCTCCTCTTCCTGTTCCTCTCTCTGATGAAGTTAAGTATTTGGGTGTTTTTCTTGACTCTCTCTCCAACAACAGAAAAAATGTCTCCTATCGTGTTTCTCAGGCCCTCTTGGAAACTCACGGTCTATCGTTCTATTATCTAGTCCATTTTGCTTTACGCTATGGAGAGTTCACAACTCACACCTCCTCAGCTTACCAAGCTCAATCATGTTTATTTCAAATCTCTCCGACGCATTTTCCGTATCAAATCTTCTTTTTACCATAGGGTTCTTGATCCTACTGATGAGGACTGCTCTAATGCTTATCTGGCTTCCCTCTCTTACGATTCATCTAGGGTTATTACTCTTCACAAATTTATTCACAGAATCGCCTCACTCTCCTTGGACATTTGTTCCGTCATCCATCTTCTCTTGAGTACTCCTCCACGTTTATGCCTTCGGGCCAGTATCGATACACTAGAGGCCCCAACTGGGTTGGACGCCCTCGTTTGCACTGGGCGGAATCTGTTATGTCTGAAGCCTCGAATAGAATCTCCTTCCTAGCTTCAGACCGAGCCCCTGCTCATTCAGATATTGACCACTCCTTTCTCCAGATCCCCAACATCTCAAACGTCAGAATGACGTGCGTCTCTCCCTCTCTTATGTGGATGGATAATACCTCCCTGCGTAGACGTATTCAGCCCAGAACTCTGAATAGAAGGGAATGGATTAGCGTAGTTCATAAACCAAAAAACAAAACCACAATGACAATTGATTGCTGCTGGTGCAGACGGCTTTGACCAAAGCTTTCGCAGTTCAAAAAACCACTGTTTCTTCCTATTGGCATCCGTTGCTCACGTCTCTTCCTTCATGGCACGCACTTTTGTTGATGACTTGCACACACCTCTGGTGCATCGATCTCCCTGGTCCTTTCGCAGTCCTGTAATCTGAGCGGAATGACGCAGTACCATTTTCTAGCTGACTCCTGGAAAAAACAAACATCTCTCCCTGTGAGATACCCTCAAAAACGCGCTCCATGAGGGCTTTAGATTTGGTCATGGTACGTATCTTCAACTTCCCGGTCACCGCCCCATCTCCCACTATGAGGGCAAGGCATCGGTATGAGATTTTGTATGTGACTTTTCTCCGCAAGTCCTACAAACGAAGATACCTTTACGGTACAATCCTCAGTCCTTCAACCAATGCTTGAGATCGAGCTGCCTCCCCCTTTTGGGCGGGCCTTCGCGGCTTTCATCCACCCACTCATCGTTGATGGTCCCTTCACCATCACTCTGCCCCTGGTCAATGGCAGTTTCTGGAAGGACCTCCGGTTCGGTATGAGTTTGCACACCTGGGTTTGCCCACCTGGGTTGTCACCTGATTCTCAAGGGCATCCAATCTACGCAGCACAGCTTTCATATTGTGATCTTGCTCTCTCTGCTTTGCCTTTTGGGCTCTGAGAGAGCACAGTGGATGTTCTCCCTTTGCGAGTTTTGCCCAGGCCTACGGTCCAACGTCTTGATCCGCTGCGTCCGTTCTCAGGAAACTTAAGTCGCCATCCTGTCGGGTCGACCTTCACCCCTTGCAATTCAGCTAGCACAGGCGCCCACGCTTCCTGCACATCTTCCAGGGATACTTCCTCAGACACGACGTCTCCTGTCTATGGCTCCTGATCACAGGAGATTTGCTTCAAACATTGACACGGATTGGCACCTATACTAGACTTGGAAAGTGCACACTGTTTTAGCCCAAGCGCTGCGACATGTTCAAGCTCAAAGCTGTCAAAAGACAAGTTCACTCCGCTCATCGTTCCGGAGACAAACTATCGGCCTGCGCAGTCCTGGCAGAATCTGTACGTGCGACGCTGGACCCTACGTACATGATAGCAATTTGCATCGCAGTGCCAGCATCTACCAGAATGCGTCAGGTACACATTGCGCCCTAAAGGGCAGGCTGTGAGGTGAGCATCATACTCCCTCTGAAGACGATTGTAGCGATCAAATTGTTGATCGTACAGCTGAGCCAACTGCTCGTGCTCTCTACGGAGCTCGCGAAGTTGATTTCGCAAGTCTACACATTCTTGCATCTGCTCAGGCGGAGGCGCAGGTGCAGCAGCCGGACGAACATCACGAGGTGGATCTCCTGGAGGAACAGGTGGAGGACGAGGAGTAGCTGGCGGTTCAGCATCTGGCTCGAGGTCCGCCACTGTCTCACGACGCGTGAGTGAAGCCCAGATCCACTTGACAAACAGGATCACTCCATGGTATGCCGCAACGATGAAGATGGAGAGGTAGGCCAACCACACCCAGCCGTCATCTGGCGCCTGTGTCGGACAGGTAGATGTCATAGTCGATGAACTGGTCGAAGGAGATGGACTGGTGGTGGTCGCCGAAGTGGTCGAAACAGCAGCCGCCGTCAGCATCCAGAAGCACCAGGATCGCGACATCAGCAAGCAGGCTGCCGTAGCCGAAGTGGAGACGCGGAGATCGCGTATGAGCTCCTTGTCAGACTTGATAAGGAGCTCCTCGGTGACAACCATCACTTTTGGAACACGCCTCAAAGTCACGCGGTGCTCGGCCTCATTCACGAAGTGGACCTCACCGCTGCTCAAGAGGCACATCAGTTGCGGAGCCACCATCGCCTTGGTGAGAGCATCTGCCAGCATGCTCTGAGTGGGCGTTAGAACAAGCCAGCGCTGCTTGCCAGAAAGACGTGACTCACGCAAGGACATCACACACAAACGTTGTGTCTTGTCCTGCGCCACCGAGGAAGATCCGGACGCCAGTTCAAACAGATCTTTACAGTCGGTATACCCGTCGCAAGGTAGCTCCGGCACACCACGAAGGATTAAGGACTGTATTGTCGGAGGCTTTGGCGTGTAAAGCAACTCCCCAAGACGCACAGCCACATGCGTCGACGTCTCCATGCCAGAAACAGCTGACAAAGTCTCAGCATGGAAACCTGCTTTGCCTTGGCCCCGTGTGCCCATAGCACATGACATCTGCCACCCATAAGGTGGGTCTGATGGTCATCCATGACCTTCTCATAGGTGTCGAGGCCACGCAGCTTGTCCTCGAACAGCAGTATCATGACGCCTTCTTGCGCATACGGTCGCACAGCGCCAGCCGCGCTGCTGTCATGGACGCATGCCAGTCGGTATGGAGGACGGAGTTTCCTGAAATACAGTCCGAGACCTTGTCCGATTTCAGCTTTTGCTTTGCGAACGACCTGATTGGCCTGCTTGAGGTGCAGGATTTTCGCCTTAGTCACCATGCTCTGCAGGATGCACACCTCCGCGATTAAATCCAACCTGGTCGCTGTCAACCAGAGCAAAGCTCCTAACACAGACCTGAACGAGGTCAACTCGGAAGCAGTCAAGGGATCGTCGTCATCACGATTCTTGTCGATGTCGACCGTCTTGAGCTTCCGGCAAAAGTCGTCCTGCTCCACGCAGATTCCGTCAGGGATGCGGCGATACACCACGCCGCAGTGAGTGAACGGAAGGGTCTGCCGGGTAACCTTGCCGAACTTCTTGACCAACAAGTTGTACTGCTCATCAAGCCATTTCCGCTTGCCTTCTGCGCCGCAGTCGTCCACATGAGTGGTCACAGAGGACCGGTCGCCATCGTCAAAACGCCAGATGAAGCAGTTCTCGTCCAGCAAGGAGGGAACACCGCCTTCTTGTTCCCAATGGCCATGCAGACAGAGCTGCCATGCCAGAGGAGCATCATTTAGGCCATAAACCGGCTTGATGCAGAGGAGAGCCCACTCATTTAGGTGTTCCAGGTCCACACGGAAAGAAGTATCGAACTTGACCAGATGTCTCCACACGTTGGCCGGGGCAATGATCACAACCTTCCGAACTGGTGAAGTGATTCCTCTGGAGGCCAGGAGTTCACGAACCTTCTCAAACGTAAGGCCTTTCAAGAAAGCCCCGGAGACATCCCAGCTCTCGGTGTCGTGATCGTGGTTCACTGCCGTGGACACAAGAAGACGTTGACTTAGTCGGGTCGCCGTTGTGGAGCGTGTCGACAAGGTGTCCCGCTGGTTGTCAAAACAACCTCAAGCACACAGTCTAGACTTCACCCGCCTGGAGCCGTCTGGATAGCGCTTCCACTTGCGAATCCACACGCTATCAATGACAACTGTGTCACTGGAAATCGAGCTGACCTTGACCTTCTTACAGCTGCCTGTGTCCACAAACTGCTTTATTTCCTCCTCATCGGCCTTGTCCACTTGTGGCCATATGCCGTAGACTTCATCCTCTGGGATGTTATCGGTGTCGTTATCCACTTTATAGATCTCGCCGTTGTGAAGGGAGGCGTACAAGGTTTCGTGCCGCTTGCCAGGCCATGAGAAAAGAAAGTGACTCGTAGTCGTAGCCGTTTGCGTCGGCATGCTCGATCTCCAGGCATACTCGTCCCATTGCGCCACAGCATGGTGATTATCATGAAGGCACCAAGTCATGGGAAACTCCCACTTGATGGTCTGGCGCTGTCGAAGTAGCCGGTAGAAGTTGACGAGGTTGCGCTGCGTTCGGGTCGTAGCACGAGTCGATGACACGATCTCCATGAAGGTCACCAGGCGCTCTTTCTTGGTCTCAGGTCCAATCACAACGGTGCGCGCGTCTGGTCCCTTCCGTTTCAAGTCGCGATCAACTTCCATTGACTCTTCTCGAGAGGGTACCCTGCTCGTCCACCTGCATAGGCTCGGCATCGTCAATTGCACCCTCGGAGGGAACAACCTTCAGGGATGGTCCAGGTTCGTAGGTCACCGTGACGACAAAGTACATGTAGAGGAAGGCCACCTCATCAACAGGTGTGGCAGTGATCTTTTTCATGGTGATCGGGTCGTCATTGTTGCGCTCGTGGCAGGTGTACTTGTCCGATCCAGCCTTCCAAAGGAGTAAAACGCCCACGGTGCCTCGTGGAGGGTGAACAGCGCGTACGCCTTGTCCCAGGATCAGGCCTCCAACATTTCGATTCGAAATAGCCTTGGCCAGGGACACTAATTTGGACCATGCCTCATCATAGGCCAAGGAGGAGGTAGAAGCTCTTCTCCATGAAGTGCAGTCACCCTTCCTTGACCTCGGGAACCCAGCCAATGGTCACCGTCTTAAAGGGGGCCATCTTTGCCACAATGCCTTTGAACCACTGGAAGTCACCCTTCTGATCATTGTTCAGAGTCACAAACACTCCAGCAGCATGCGGTCTAATGTGCCGGAGAGCCACCAAGTATGGCCTGCCTTGGTAGGAGATGATGGCCGTGCCTTCGGTCTGACTGATCCGCAGTAGCTCAGCAGGTCCTCTCCAACCAACGTCGCCTTGAACTTCTCGATAGTGGTCCACCAGGCTCACGCCTGGTTTCAGTTCACCAAGGCGAAGCTGCTGGGGCCTGGTTCGATTGGCACGGGCCACTCTGTCCTCGGCAATGGCCTTGTGAACCATGGACAACGCCAACTGGCGCACGCGGATGGCTCGTTCGAAGGGTGTAACATCAGTTTGTAAGGCACCTGTGATGGCCGTGACGGAGTCGGTGTCGTCCTGAAAATACGGACGTGGGAGAACCCCGAAGATGCACATCGCAGGGGTGGCTCCCCCATAGTTGAGGGTCGAGTTTTGTGCTGAAGCTGACTCCCGGCACAAATCGTCAATGGCAATGCCCTGCCTGTCAAGCTCGGCCTCTATAACTTTGCCATAGTAATTTCGACGAGTCCTATATGCCTTTCAGCAAGTCCTGTCCCAGTGTGTTGGGCGGCTGCCGGTCCGGAGGTCGTTCCCTTCGGAACTCTCTCGATCCCAAAGCGCTCCAATTCTTTTCCTGCTTGATGACTCATCAGGCCATAGATCGAGAACCACCACTTCAGCATAGGCTGCAGCAGGTCGTTGTGTTCTCGAGAGCTCACGGCCATCGCTGCTTTGTATCGAGTAGCCTCGTCCACCATCAAAAGCACCCAAGTCTCCTTGTACTGGAAGAGGTCACATTGAACTCGACTGTTAAAGCTTGATGCCTGCGATCCGATCTTCACCTGAGGTCGAGGAGGAAGTCGAACATGCTTCCTGCAGATGGAGCAGTTCATAATTGCTTCCTCAGCCAACTTGAGGACTGTGCCATCCAAGCCAGCTCTGATCAACATGTTGCGGAAATCAGAGATTGGTGCATGGTAGAACCTCTCGCGCAAACCCAGCAGCAGCCGCTTAGCCATCACCGGATCGGTATCGGGAAGATCCGACTGAAGCTTCCTGAAAACTTTCCTAAAGTCATACAGAGGCTTGATGGACTTTGCTTCGTCAACTTCTGGTTCCGGCCGAACAGCTCTGAACTCTTCCTCAACTTCTTCGCCTCGCGCTTCCCGTTCTGGTTGTTGAGGTGGCGCTGGCGCCGATGATTGAGGAGGTAGGCGAAACGGAGGTGACGCTGGTGGTGCATGAGGTGCCGCTGGTGGTTCTGAAGGTGTTGCAGCTGTCGTTGGTCGACGCGAAGAAGATGAGACTTCCCCACCATTCTCTCTTAAGTAATATTCGTGGTATCTGG